AATCTGGACGTAAATGTTGATGCTGATGGTGGTGGTGACAAGGATGACGATGAGGAGTGTGATGATGATGCTGATAATGATATTTATGGTGGTGATGATGATGATGTCGATGGTGATGATGAGGTTGGTGTTGGAAGTGAGTTTCGGGATGGTGTTGGTCCGAATGTCAAGGTCGATGATGATGGTGATGGTGATGAGGTTCAAGATGGGGATTGTGATGTTGATGCGGATGGTGATGTCTCTGATGATAATGGTCATGATGATGCTGATGATGAAGCTTGTGGTAATGATGATGTTGATGCTGAGATGCTGAGGTTAATGTTGGCAATGAGTGTGGAGATTGTGCCGGTCAGATCGTTGAGATTGATGATGATGGTGATGGTGATGAGGTTGAAGATGGGGTTTGATATTTTGGTGACGATGATGGTGGTGATTTTGATGCTGGTAGTTCTGATGATGTTAAGGATGATGATGACCGTGATCATGATGGAGTTGAAGATGTTGGTGCCGAAAATGACCTGCTGATGATAACCTTGACGTTGGTGAGGAAGATGCTCATGACGAAGGGTGGCGCTTGTTCCGATCATAATGATCATGGTGGCGATGTGCATGTTCACACTGATGGCGATGACGGTGAGTATGGTGGTCATGTTGATGACGATGGTGATGACGGTATTGACGATGAAGATGTTGACGATTATGGTTTGATGTTGATTTTGATGACGATTGTGATTGTGATGATTGGCTGTGTGTTGATGATGCTGGTGATGATGGCGGCAGTGGTGTTGATTAAACTGGCGATGGTGATGCTGAGAATGATTATGATGACGATGATATTTCTACAGGGGATCATTATGGTATTGATGCAGTTGCTACTGATGTTGATGTGCTGATGACGGCGCGTATTCGTATTATGGTGGTGTTGCTGGTCCTGGTATTGATGCATACGACGGCGACGGTAATTCAAGTGACAATTCTCATAGTGAACGTGATGGTGATGGCGCCCGGGATGATGATGATGGTGGTGGTAGTGGTGGTGATGGTGGTGGTGGTGATGTTTTTGATGATAGTCATGTTGACGGTGATAATGATATTGATGAAAGTGTTGACGGTGATTTTGATGATGATTCTGGTGGTGATGAAGGTCAAGGTGATGGTGGATGTGATGATGCTTGTGATGATGGTTGAAATATTGATGATGGTTATCGCAAGTTTGTGGATGATGATGGTGTTGATGATTATGATGTTCATGAAGAGCATCATGTTGATAGTGAAGGTGGTGGTCATGGTGACCGGGATGATGATGATAATGATGGTGATGGTGGTGGCAGTGATTATGGGATGGTGATGTTTATGGTGATGACGGTGGTGTCTATGTTGATGATGTTGCAGATGATGGTAATGTTGACGAAGCTGTTGGCGATATTTGGTTATGATGTTGATGCTGTGCTGCTGATGATGTTAATGATGGTTATGGTGGTGGTGATGGTAAGAGGTGATGGTGGAGCTGATGATTATGGAGGGGATGATTCGGATAATCCAGATGATGATGATGATGATGATGATGATGATGATGATGATGATGATGATGATGATGATGGATGTTGTGGTCATGATGTTGATGATGGTGATGCTAGTGCTGATGAGGTTGATGGTGGGGTCTATGGTGTTGGTGATACTCATTGTGCTGACGTTGATGATGCTATTGTTGTTGGCGGTGGTGCTGCTGATGATGATGATGGTGATGATGATGGTGGTGATGATAATATGGAGACAGTGCTGCTGAAACTGATGCTGATGGCCATGATTACGCTAATGATGACCATGTAAATGTTGATGATGCTGCTGGTGATGATGATGATGATGATGGTGATGGTGATGGTGATAGTGATGGTTATGGTGGTGATGATGACGATATGGTGATGTTAATGATGCCGTCGGCTGGGTGCCCGCCACCCTGGCTCCTGGGAGCGTCCGCGGCCGCATGAGCCGCTGGACGCCCAGACCCGCCAGTGGGCGGCACCATCCGGCCCTCAACCTCGGCCCGGTGCCGCAAGCCGCGCGAAACAGTTCCGCGGCCGCGCGCGTGTTTTCGGCTACGTACACGTAAAAGTGATCTTTCGCAAGAGTGATTTTTAAAACAAAAATAAAAACAGCAACAACCAAAACGACAGAATTCTCTGAATTCTCGGCCTTTGGGGGCCCGAACCTTCCCTCAGGACCGTCAAAAAAACAACTCGGGATGAAAAACCGGTCCCGGGGAATGGGTCCAGGCCGCTGGGGCCGGCGTTACGAAAAATGTATGACGTCGGGGGTGTGGCTTTGGTGCGGGCACACTGGGGTCCCCCGATTATTGAACGCGATGCGATAGCAGCGTGCTGCGCGTTCGGGTTTGGCCTCCCCGCGACCCCCGGAAGTGGCGCACCGAGGGTCACTCTTGCCTGGGATCATTCCTTGCGTGTAGCCGAGTGCTTCCGTGAAGCCTGCCGGCCACGCGAGCGATCGGGCCTTCTCGTGGGGCTCGCGTGCCTCCGACGGGGTGCCAAACTCAGGAGCAGCGCCAGGGAGGGTATGCTCAGGGGGGAATGCATCGAATCGCCCGCTGATCGCCGGAAAGTTTGGATTCGCCATGGGGGGCCTCTCGCCGACCCATCGGCGATGCATCGCCGATGCCAACCAGAGGGTGGAAGGAGTACTTTTGTTGTTCGGAGGCCTCAGGCGAAATGGTGCATGTGTATTGCTCCTTTCTGCAATTAAAAATGTGTTCCATTTTCGTTTCAAGCATTTGCGCCTTTTTGCTGGCCCAAGATCAGTCCATTCATCATCCCCGCACATACGTGATCATTCATCGATCACCTCACCATCACTCATTTAAACTGTGTGTTTACAACGTGTGCTTGGCCATTGCTAGGAACATTGTGCTTTTTAATACAGAGCCAAGTCGATTCAAGAATGCATGGCAAAAGCACGCAAGTGAGACACACTGCTTTGGATTGCGTTGCGTATGCGTTTGCATTTCACTTACACAGAAGGCTCAGCATCCATTTCGAGGTCCCCCAGCCCCTAGCGCATGCCGCCCAACGGCGCCACAATGTGATCCGGCTTCCAACGGCCGTTGCTGTGCTCACGGGTATAGCGCGCCCCCTTTCCCCCGATTGCAGTCGCAGCCCGTCTGGCAAAACGCAGGCATGCCTGCTAATCCAGCAGCAGCATATTCACTGCGTCGACTTTCGGAGGTTCTCCAGTCTCATATATCTGGGTCGAATGCTGTGAAGCTCGGTTGGAGGCGGCGCAAGGGCAGCGTTCGGAAGGACGCCTTCATTGCTCACATGGGATTATTGCGCGAGCTGGCTGTGATGACCAACAAGTTCCTCATCCCCGTGGCCGCGCTGACGACAGCTCTTGCGACAGCGACGGGGACAGGCAGTTCCAGCAGCAAGTGCAATCCAAATGGAGCATGGCTCACCGATTGGGTACGAAACAATCACGACCGCATCGCCGCGATGCTGTCCTATTGCAGGGTGACCCCTGCTACATACGGCGCAGATGTTGTTCTTTTGTATAAAAAGTGCCTGTCCAATTCCAGAGGAACTTCTCGCATCTGAGGTCAATGCTGAGGGCGACAATTGCGACGGGGAGCTATAGGAGGAAGACGAAGCCGAGGAGAACAAGGAGGAGGAGGAGGAGGAAAAGGATGGCGAGGACGCCAACGGCGAGTCCAAGGCCGAGTCCGATGATGATAAAGAGTGGCCTCAACTTACGATCATGTTCCATAGACGGGCAAGGGGGGCGGGGGGCGGCGGGCGGGTGTTATCGCCCTCCCCCGTCCTCCCTTCTCACGCCCGCCACAACATAAGCAATCTAGTTCCTGCGTGTGGCAATTGCTCCACTTCCCGCACACAAACTTAATTGATTGTTCTGTCCTGTTCCTTCTCTTCTCCGCCATCTTCCTCCACCCTCCTTCCTCCTCGTCTTCCCCGTGCGTTGCCATTTTGGCCCAAGCCCTTGGCACGGGCTTCCCCGTGGGATGGCAATTGGTCACAAACCCTCGGCGCAGGCTAAGCCCGCTCTCAACCGCGCCCGAAAAGGACAACCATGTCAAATGTCGGACGTGAAAGGCTGCGACAATTCGGCTCGCGATTGCCGAGTATAGGAACAACTCATGGGTAGTGCACGTGATTTCAACCGCGTGTGACTACATACGTACATTGACATGCGCTGAAAGTTCAATCCAACATACATTATTAACATGTGCACCACTTCAACAACACAAAGGCACTTACCATATGTTCTTCTCTGCCGCAAAACTGTCCACCCCACATGCTTTTGCAAACATAAGATACAAAAGGATGCAAATCAGGTGCACTTGTCTTATCCTCCCGGCAGATCGATGTGTTCCCTCCCGAGCTGGTCCCCGCAACCATTTCCCCTCATAGGCCTCCCCACCTGCTTGGCCTGCCAGCATGCGGCCTCTCGGCCTTTCCCCGCGCCTGGCTGGACAGGCCCTGCCATTCAACAAGGGGGAGGGAGGATCAAGACATGCCTGGGATGAAGGTCGGTTGCTCCAGAAGGCTCTCAGAGTGCTCTGGAGCGCTCGGGATCAGGCCGCGGCGCCCGATGCATCCTCCAGACCCGCCAACTCCCAGAGATTCCCGATTCATCTCCATCGAGACTTATTCTCATCCTGCCTTCCGTCTCAGAGAACCAGGAGGCGGAGGACGAGGCGGACTGAGTTCTCGCTCCTTGCGGGGACTTCTGGTAGCTTCCAGGGCTCCCAGGGGTCAGGAGAACTCCGTGGCTTCCGCTCAGACCTGGGGGGGGGGGCTTCTCCACACGCAGCTGAGGCCTCGGGGACCCTCAGCAGCGGGGCAGGGAAAGATGGTACGGGGACCGTCAGAGTGATGGGAGGGGGGCGGTGTGTAGCCGTGTAGGCGAGCGTTCCAGCAGGAAGCGGAAGGGCAAGCGTCGCAAGTGTTGAAAGCGAGAGGGAGGGGAGAGGATGAGGGTGGACCTCTCAGATTTGCATATGGTACACAGCAACGCAGCCGTTCGATCCGGCGCGTGTGCCCCTGGCTTGACTAGGTCGCGTTGGGCTGTCGCCGAAGGTGACGGTAATTATGATTATGCACCATATGAGTATACTCCTCTTGTGGCGCCAGACGTCACGAGGGAGGCACTCTTGACGAGCCCCATTGGGAATGAATACCTTCCCTTTAGTGAGATGCTCGAGGCATAGTTCGTGGGGGGCGGCACGCTGAACGCTCGGCGAAACTCGGCGAAAGCGCCGAGTCTAGCCTGTGTTCCAGGAGATCCAGAGTGCAGGCTCGATGTGAATGACTGGCCGTGCTTCAATTTGAACGCCATGGAACTCTGCATGAAGTCAGTCTTCACTGCGTCTGTCGTCTGCACCTCTAGAGAGATATCTTGCTCCTCATTCCAGCCCATCCTGCCTCGCCCAAGAGCCTTCACCTCCTGTTATTTCTCCTTACAGTCGAGTCTGATCAGTGGGTTGGGCTAGCAAGATCAAGGGGATCCCTGTGTCCTGCGCATCGCGTCTAATGCCCTCGTCATTATTCGGGCAAGGGCTGTGGGCTGCGTCCTCGGCAGAGTCTCGTGTCCTCCCGCGTGCCCTCTCCGATCATAGTCGATTGCACGGGCTCGTGCCCTTATTGTTGGAACACGGGCAGCCAGAGCCTGGCGACCTGCACGGCGGTGATGCCGAGACGCACCCTCGAGAGACGTCCTGGAAAGCCAGGAGGGGGTATGTGATGTTCGATAAGACGATGCACTGCGCGCGGCCTTCCCATCACCGGAGCGCGCTGGGCTCGCTGGCCAGCTCAGCGTGGCCTGGGGCTCGATCCATCTCAAGTTATCGAGGGCACTGCAGGCCCGTACGTGCGGGGGCCTGGCATTGATAGTGCTGGGAAGGGGGGGGCGGAGGAGATCGGGGCTCAAGAGACGAGGGTCAATGCAAACGGGGGTCAGCCAGGGCACCAAATCCTGCAGGATCCTGCAAGGACCCCCTCTGGCTGACCTGGGTTAGCGTGGCCGCTCGTGGCCGCGAGGCGGCCGCGCATATTGGCTGACCCAGGTTTGCGAAGACCTGCGTTGCAGTTATGTGTTCCTGCATTGCAGTTTTTTGGTTTCCTGCTAACCCGGGTCTGGATTGACCCGGGTCAGAAGATCCCTGAGGAGAAGGAGGAGGACGAGGGGGAGGGAGGAAAAGGATGAGGAATAGGATGCGATTGTGGAGAGGAGGAGGAGGAGGAGGAGGAGGAGGAGGAGGAGGAGGAGGAGGAGGAGGAGGAGGAGGAGGAGGAGGAGGAGGTGGGGCGAGGAGAAGAAGGAGCAGGAAGAGCAGGAAGAAGAGGAGGAGGAGGAGGAGGAGGAGGAGCGAGGAGGAGGAGGTCGGGCCGGCATGAGCAGGAGGAGGTGGTTAGTGTTGGCTCCGCCGTGAAGCCACCCCTCCCCTCGGGAAGTCCGCGGAGGCCTCCAGGACAATTCGAGATCCTCGGTCCTCGGATGCCGCGGGCAAGTCTCAGCAGTGCGAGCAGGAGCTGACGGCGCGCCCAGAGGGGGTCGCGCGAAGAGGCCGGCCTTCGGAGAAAGCGGGGGGGGCTTCTGAGAAGGCAGGGGTCGAAGAGGAAAAAACGGCACAATCAGAAATGTTCGGCGCTCCGCGTAGATTTCTTGGATCGGCGCTGGGTTTTTCTGGCGGCGCCTCTGGTGGGGGCCCAGAGAATATACACCACCACCACGTCGATTCCTCCTCTCTCCTCTTTCCAGCGAGAGGGAGGGGGGGGAGGGAGGTGGTGGTGGTGTATATTTTGGGGCCCCCTATCTGGCGCCGCCCCTGGCGCGCTCCGTGCGCCGGGGAGGGGGGTCCAGCGCCGTTCCAAGAGAGTCGCGCGGACCTCCGAAAGCTGATGTTTGGGGGGGCTCTCTTGACGGACAAAATAATCATTGACGCTTCGAGTATCCCCACCAGCCCATCCAGAAACGACGCCCAGGCGAGTTGAGGTGATCAGGGAAGTGTAGGAGCGAAGACGGGGACAGCCGAACCGCTCGAAGGAAAAGGAAAAGGAGGAGGATGGATGCATGGATGGATGGACGGATGGATGGATGGATGGATGGATGGATGAGGGAGGAGGGAGAAAGTGATGAATAGGATGAGGAGGAGAAGGAGGAAGAAGAGGAGAATGTAGGAGGAGGAGGAGGAGGATGGCGAGCAAAAGGGTCAGGAGCCTCTTGGTCGCCTCTCGGAGTCTCTTGGGATCACTCTTGGGCACCTCTTTGAGGCCTCTTGGGGCGTCTTGGGTGTCCCTTGGCGGTCCAGGGGGCTCTTAGGCGTCTTGGGTGCCTCGGGGGGGCCTTTTGGGGCCGCTTGGGGTCCTCTTGGGGGTCTCTTGGGGGCCTCCTGGGGGCCTCCTGGGGGCCTCTTGGGGGCCTCTTGGGGCCATCTTTGGGCCTCTTGGGGCCTCCTGGGCACATCTTGGGGCCTTGGAAGACATATATAAAAAAGGGGGTACTTAATTGGATGTTATCTTGGAACCCTCTTGGGGTTGTTTGGGGGGATCTTAGGGGTTCTCTTGAGGCTCTTTTGGGGCTTCTTGGGGCCCTCTTGGGGCTCTTTGGGGGGTCTTGGGGTCCTCTTAGGTTTCTTTTGGGGCGTCTGGAGTCTGGGGGCCCTCCTGGATCTCTTGGATGTCCTCTTGGGAGCTATGGAGCGCGTCCTGGGGCCATGCTGGAGGCCATCGATCGAGGGAGGGGGGTCCTAAATGTGCGCTCCCCCCCTCTCCAGGGCCCGAAAAATCGCCTCTTGGGGCCCTCTTGGGGCGCTCTTGGGGCGATCTTGGACGCTCTTGGGACCGTCGTGGGGGCCTCTTTGGCCTCTCTTGGAACTCTATTGCGCCATCTTGGGGCCATCTCAGGGGCCTCTGAAGTACCTCGGAAGCGAAAAGGCGAGAAGGCAACAGTCATTGACTTTCCTACAGTTTTGAAGGGTTTGGGCTTTCGGGGAGCTCCCGAGAGAGCTCTGAGAGCACGTGGAACCGTCTTGTGGCCCTTTAGGTGCCTCTTGGAGGCATGATGGAAGTCATCTTGAGCCATCCTGGAGGCCATCTTGGAGCACCAGAGGGCCTCTTGGAGCCATCTTGAGCGAAAAAAGACCTTCTGATGACTCGCGGTCACCCCCCGTCCAGGTCCAGGCGAGGGGTAGGGAGAGGGGTAAGCCCTTCCCCGAAGGGGAATAAGGAGTTTTTGGAAGAGGAAAGGAATGTACCGTTAGACCACCGGCGCCCAGAGGGTGGGACTTGTTTCGCCGTCGGGGGCGCCTGTCCAAGGGCGGCTGGAAAGTTTATACCCCTACGGTGGCACGTTGGGGTGTAAACTTTCCAGCCGCCCTGGGACAGGCGCCCGCGGTGACGGAGAAGTCGTGGAGAAGTTTATCTTATGCCGGTCTCCGCACGCTAACCCGCAGGAGCCCTCCCTACCTCTTCAGGCCCTCTCAGTAGCGCCCGGGCCCTCCCGCGCAGGAAGGCCCCGGCCGAGAGGCGCCCCCCCCCGCCGTGCCGCCCCCCGGGGCCAGCAGCTGCTCGTGTTGCGTCGGTGCGCGAGCCCTGTTCCGGGCGTTGCTTGAAGTGCCCCTGGCCTCGGGTGCCCCCTGGGGATTCTCGGGGGAGCCCAGTTGGCCTCCAGAGTACGGTCGGGCCGAGGTGCAAGAGCACAAGATCAAGGTCAGTTCGGGAGGAAGCCCTAGTGTTCCTTGTGCTTGTTGGATGTTCTTGTGCAACCTGGGGAGGGTACCCTGGAATGTGCTGTTTGTTCTGGCCGTCGGAGGGTCTCAAGTTCTTGAGTGATGTTCTTCTGGCCTAGGTCCAACTGTACCCATCACGAGGCCCAGAGGGCTTCCGGGCTCCAAAATGGAGCGAAAGCCTGGGGAGGGGGGGCCTTGGGCCAGGGGTACCCTTGGCAACCTCCGACCTGTGAGTCCGTTAGTCTCAGGGCCCCCAGAGGACGCCTCCCTCTTCCGCACCCTCTGCTCCTCTGCTCCAATCGGGCCGGACGAAAGGGGGGGATAGGGAAAGGGGGCGGTACGAAATCTGCTGCATGCAGCTGGTCTCGGCCCCACCGAGGAGCCCATTCCTCGACACATGGCCGTCTCCAGCGCCCGGAGGCGCTGGGCAAGTCAGCTACGTGAGCTGATTCTCAAGCCCCCCCCCCTTTGCTGCCCCCCCCTTTCGCCCAGCCCGATCCGAGGAGGCGCTCGGCCAGGCCGGCCGTTCCTCCTCTCTTTTGTGCCTCCCGGCTCCCTCTGGCGGAGCAGGCGCAGGGAGAGCGGCGTCCCCCCCCGGGGGGCCGGAGGGAGCCGCGGGGCGCCGAGAGGGGAGCTCGCGGCGCCTTGCCGCTCCGACGGCCCCAATGCACGAGCCAGGGTCAACGCAAGGGGCGGGGGGTACTTCAGATTTCGTAATGAAAGGGAGAGGGGTCTCATTTCGGGGGGGGGTCTCTTCCAGGCTATCTTGGAGGGCCTGGGGGTGTCTGGGGACGACGTTCTGGAGGGTTCTCCCACGGGGGAGGTCTGAAATGGCTTGTCTTGGAGGGTCCAGACCCCCTCCCTTTTATTACGGAATCTGGAGTAGGCTTCTTCGCCTCCTACGGGGGGTCAGCCTGTGGGGGGTCAGGAAGATGTGAGCTCGATTCCGTGGGTCGACCCTGTCCGGGGCCGCGCTCGTCTGAACACCTATGGCTTCTGTTGCTTGCCCTGGGCAAGTGCCTTTGGTGATTCTTCGCCCTGGCCCGTAATTTTCTCAGAAAGCATGTCTTCCTTCGCTTTTCCTTCGCTGACTCTGACCCCAGAAGTATGACCCCCATTAGCAGGCGAATGGTAGGCTCATGAACGGCTGCTTACCGTGTCGTTCCGCCAGTTCTGGCGCATCAGCGCGACACGCTAATCGCTAGCCACTTTCCAGTTCCCGAGCGTCAACGTCCCCTGCGTTTCCCAGCCCCGTGTCGCAGGGGCCGCCGCCGCGACACGCTGACCAAAAGTTCCTGACCGTAGGCTCAGGGTTATGATGTTCCGACCTACTTGAGCCTTGATCACATGAGAGAATTTCGAGCACCAGGGAGGCATCAAAAATGGAGGGTTTTCTCGTGCCAGTGCCAGGTCCTTCGCTAGCGCGTCGGGCAAACAATGTTTCGATACTTTCAGGGGTGCTCGAAATGATTCCTGGGATGTGGTCCTTCAGTACGATGGGAGCAACACAAGCTCAGGGGGGGAAGTCGAACCCCGATCGCACATTCCAATCGGATCGGGGCCTGGGCCCCCCAAACCGCTTGCTGGGGCTCGTTTCGCCGATTCAAGCGGCAGTAGCATCGCCGACTCCAGGTCGATGTTTCCCCCCCGATCCGGTCCCCCCCATTTCATTCCCCTTCACTTGTACAGCAACGCGCGCGCGCGCGGCCGCGCGGCAGCCTTTTCGCGCAATCGCGAGTGCCAGAGACGCACAGAGCCGCGGCTGCCGCCACCAGCTGCCCAATGGATCAGCCCCCACTGCTGGAGCCCCCTTCCCTCCCCGACACTCCTCATCCTCCTTCTCCTCGTCCTCCGATCCTCGATCGGAGGAGAAGGAGGAGGCCATGAGCCAGGAGGAAGAGGAGGAGGCGGCGGAGGAGGAGCAGCAGCAGAACCAGAGTAAAACCAAGAGCCATCATCGATGTTGGAATCAACCCTCCCTCCAAGCTCCCTCTTCATAGGCCCCTACAACGGGTCAGTCATTCCCACTGAGGGAACTGCGTCGGTGGAAGACAACACTTTGAAGATCCTGAAGCATGCCAAAACATTGCTCTCGGGATTCCAACGCCACGGATCAACTTGAGTGTTGCGTCTTGGCGATCCTGAATCGTGCCAGAATGCCATTCCTGGGACTGCAACACCGCGAATCAATGTAACTGCTGCACCCTTATAATCCTGAGTCCTCCCAAAGCACCATTGCATGCTGATCATGGGAATCCGTGGAACTGTTGCAAATTATTTCCTTCAGAAAGATTGTGCGCGATGCTGAGGCGAGAGCACCATTTTGAAAAGGAACCGCCCTCAATCCGTGAAACTCTTTTGCAATGTTTTACAACGATTGTGCGCGGCGCTACGGCGACAGCCACCTTTTGAAAACCAGTCGCCCTTATGCCGTGAAACTCTTACAATTGTGTAAAACGAATGTGCGCAGCGCTAAGGCGAGAGTCACATGTTGAAAACGGCCCGCCCTCCATCTGTGAAATTGTTGTCATTGTTTAGGCTTCAGGGTCATAGGAGGTGAGGAGGTCTCAGGCGAAACGACTGGCCCGCCCTAAGAACTGGTCTCGGACGCGGAATGTGACAACGAGAAGTTACGTATAAGGAGAAGGAATGGAGGAAGAGGAGAAGGAGAAGGAGGAGGAAGAGGACGAGGAGAAGCAGGGGTGGGGAGGAGGAGGAGGAGGAGGAGGAGGAGGAGGAGGAGGCGGAGCAAAAGAAAGAAGAACGAGCTGGAGAAGGAGGAAGGTGGAGGAGAAGGAGAAGGAGAAGGAGGCGGAGCAAAAAGAACAAGGAAACAGGAGGAGGAGGACACGGCGGAGGAAGAGGAGGAGGAGGAGGAAGAGGAGCAGGAGGAGGCGGAGGACGAGGAGGAGGCGGAGGGGAGGCCCCGTCGCCCAAGGGAAGTCTCCTGCGGCCCGAGGGCCGGGAGCGGTTGGCCCGGTCGTTGGCCCCACGTCGGCGCGGCCCCTGGTGCCGCGCGCGACTTGCCGCTCGAAAGGGGGGACAGGGAAATGAGGAGGAGGAGGAGGAGGAGGAGGAGGACCCGAAAGGGAGGCGACCGAGGAAGGGCCGTGGTCGTTTCGGAGTCTGTTGGCGCGTCTGGGGAGCACCGCTGCCCCGGCCAGAGGCAGCTCGACAAGCGGGCTGGGGTGGGTCTTGCGAGGGGTCCAGGGGCTAATCGTCAGCGGGTTCTCCGCCGCTGGGGAAGACGAGGAGGGCGATGGGGAACGAGGAGGCCGAAAGGACGGGGGGCCGCACGACAGGAGGACGGGGTTACGAAATCTGCTGCGTGCGGCTGGTTTCCGCCACGCCGCGGGGCCCACGCAGCTGGATGCATGGTCGCCTGCCGGCGCCAATGGGCGCCGGGAGAACCAGCTACGTGAGTTGACTCTCTGCCCTGGCTGTTACTATCCTACCCTTTCGTCACCCCCGAGAGGAGGAGGATCGCGGGCGACTTTCCTCTCCGAATCCCCGAGCTCCGCCCGAAGAGCGCGGCAGTTCAGAAGAGGAGGGGGGGAACTCCGGGATGCTCCCCCAGGGCGCTGCTCGGAAGCACCCCAATCGAGGATCGACGCCTGCCCCTGGTGTGTATCCCGGGGTTGGGCCCCCAATGCCACGTCCAGTCGAAGACCCTCAGAAACCTCGGATTGGGGTCGCCATGTCCCCTTGCCGCGGATCGAAGCAGAACGGTTTGAGTGAACCTAAACGTTCTGCGGTCCGCGCGGGCTTCCTGGATCGGGGCCCGGCCCCCTCGGCGGCGCCTCCAGCGCCGCCCCCTGGCGCGTTCCGTGCGCCAGGCAGGGGCGTCCAGCGCCGATCCAAGAACGATGTGTTTACTGATTGCTTTTGGTTCCGCAGCTCTCCTGTGTATTGAGTTCCGGTTTCGAATAGTGCGCTGTGGTCTCCATCCTTCCCCTCTTCCTCCCCCTCCTCCTCCGTAGCAGGTTGGGCTCACGATAGTTAGTTCGCTTGGGGACCGACTAGAAACAGCGAGTCCGCGATCAGGGTTCGCTTGTTGACACTCCTGTGGGAGACTCGCCCACTCGCCAGTGCGGGAGGCTTCTGTGCATCACGGACCGACTGGCGTCGGCCCTTTTCGGGTAAGTTGAGACGTTGTTAGTTCTTGGGGGGGTCAGCCCCACCAGTCATGACTGGCAGCGGCCGCAAGAACGACAAGAAAGACAGGAGGAGCAGGAAGGACGACAGGGACGATGAGTCTCTCCCTCTTCGCCAGCCACGCCACGACCAGGACATCGAAGCCATGTCGGAGGTCAGCCCTGGCTCGACCCCTCCTGCAGCACCCAGGCCTCGTGCTCGGCATAAGGATCGCGCTTCTGGTCATCGTGAGCCGTCTTAGGAGCGTGCTCCAGGACAACGGTCTCGCAGTGGGAGAGGCTTTCGGTCCCCTGCAGGCTCACACCCTCGAGTCCGACGGCCCTGGTTTCGTGGCTGCTTTTCTCGAGGGCCTCTTCCTGTTGCTCGCGATGCTCCTGCCGGTTCCCTTCCTCGTCATCACATCGCTGGCCGGTGGCGTGAATCGGGAGGCGCTGATGACGGCGCCGCCGCCTCACAAGGCGGCCAGCCCAGTTCACAGCCTGCCGCGAGCGCTACCTCAGGCCAGGCCCCTCGTCAACGGCTCGACCCTTGGGCTGGCGGTCTCATCGGACCGGAGGTGGAAATATTTCAGCGCCTCTCATCGCGAACGCCCACGAGACTAGCATGTCTGCCGTTCAGTCCCTGGTCACTCAACAGGCCCCTTCAGCTTTCCAGCCCCTGCTGCACAAGTTCGACGAAGCTCTTGAAATACGATGGCAGGCGATCGAGTGTCAGCTCCACGACGTCGGTGACCAGGTGGAGGCTCATACCCAGGCGCCCGAGCTGTTGGAGGCCCGGCCCTAGCGTCTGAAAATGGAGCTCGACCTGGCCAAGTCGGCCCGTCGAGTTCCGACTTCACGGATGGCCGATTGGGCGCTAGCCACCGATTTTGGCATCTGCGCTGCCCACGCAAAGGAAGACGTCGGGCGCGACGCTGTCGCGTCGGGCTTGCGCGAGTTGCCCAAAGGTGCCAACTACACATGCGGAGAAGACTACAACGTTGAGGGCGACCTCCTCGGCCAGCGCTTCGTTGTCAGGTTCGCGATGCCTGTGGAGCGCGCGCTCTCGTCCTTCGCGCTGCCCTCAAACGCGTCCACTCCGCTCCGAAGGCTTGCGCTCCTGATCGGGCCTTGATGCTGGCGTGGGTAAGATGAGTTTCAGTCAAGTCGCACAGGTATCCTTGCGCAGTGTGCGATGGCGAGGGCCACTCCGTCCGCGGGAGCCAGCCGCTTCCGTGGCAGCACGTCCTCTGCGCTGCGACTCGATAGGCACTTCGCGGCGCCGCCGCCTTAGTTGTTTTGCCAGATGAAGCAGGCTGCGAGGTGTCACGCGGAGCGCGATGAGTTGTTCAGAGCCAAGATCTCTGACCACTCGCCGATGGCGGTCTCGCGGCAAGTCAGGCGCGGGACCCGAGTATGCATGCCAGGCCCCATCGCCCCATCTACTTCGACCCCCTGTTCGACCGCTGCGTTGCTGCAGAATCCGACGCCCGCAGCGAGGTGCGCCATCGCGAGGCGCCAACCGATTGGACAAAGTCGATTCGGGCGCGAAGAGGCGCGGCCCGC